AAAAAAGAAAAAAAAAAAAAAAATTAAAGAGCACAATCTGAAGTGTAGGGCTGGAATGAATGAACCCATTAGGCAAGCAAAGGCTTTCAGGGCTGGTGTCCCTCAGTCCCGCGAGCCAGGCCCCCTCAGGCTGAGTACTGAGCGCTGTCTATCTGACCAGGACGTCATCCACTCGGGTAGTGCCCTCCTGGCCCCGGCCACCAGGGCGGCATGGGAGCAGATCCAGCGGAGTGAGGGTGGCACAGCACAGCTGCTCCAGCGCCTCGAGGGCTACTTCAGCAACGTGGCACGCAACGTGCGACGGACCTACCTGCGGCCCTTCGTCATCGTCACCGCCAACATGAGTAAGGCTCTGGCTGCGTGGTGGGTGGAACCCTGCTACCATCAGGGGTGTTCCCCAGAGCTGGGCCCCCATGGGGTGAAGCAGGTGGGCTCCTGGTCCCCCCTTGGCCATGCTCTTAGAAGAATGATTCTGAGGCCAGGTGCAGTGGCTCATACCTGTAATCCTAGCATTTCGGGAGGCCAAGACAGGCAGATCACGTGAGGTCAGGAGTTGGAGACCAACCTGGGCAAAATGGTGAAACCCCGTCTCTACTAAAAATATAAAAAGTAGCCAGGCATGGTGGTACGTGCCTGTAATCCCAGCTACTCGGGAGGCTGAGGCAGGAGAATCACCTGAACCTGGGAGGCAGAGGTTGCAGTGAACCAAGATTGCGCCATTGCACTCCAGCCTGGGTGACAGAGCAAGACGCCATCTCAAAAAAAAAAAAAAAAAAAAAAACTGAAGATTCAGCAGCTAGGCCTCTGTTTCGTCATCTGTAAGTGGAGCCTTTGGGAAGACAGTCTGCGATGACACACCCATGGCTCCCAGGGGACAGGTCCTGGGCTTGGGAAATGTTGGGCCGTGATCTTGGGGGTCCAGCAGGCTTCCAGACCCTCAAGTGTGAGACTCTAGAAGGATGGATGTCAAGAGCCCCGCCTCACTCCGTGCTTACTGCAGACAGGTGTAGGTACAGGTGGGATGCAGGAAGTTGGAAGTCAATTCTGTTCTAAAGATGGCCAGTCAACTGGGCGTAGTAGTTCACACCCTGTAATCCCAGCACTGTGGGAGGCCGAGGTGGGCAGATTGCTTGAGCCCAGGAGTTCGAGACCAGCAGGGTGCCATAGGGAGACCCTGTCTCTATTTAAAAAAATAAATAAAGATTAGCCAGGTGTGGTAGCATGCTCCTGTATTCCCAGCTACTCAAGAGGCAGAGGTGGGAGGATCGCTTGAGCCCAGGAGCGTGAGGCTACAGTGAGCTGAGATTCTGCTACTGCACTCCAGCCTGGGTGACCGAGTGAGACCCTGTCTCAAAAAATAAATATAAGTAAATAGTCTGAGTGTGGTGGTTCATGCCTGTAATCCCAGCACTTTGGGAAGCCAGAGCATGCAAATCACTTGAGGTCAGGAGTTTGAGACCAGCCTGGCCAACATGATGAAACCCCATCTACCAAAAATACAAAAAGCCAGGCGTGGTCGTGCCTGCCTGTAGTCCCAGCTACTTGGGAGACTGAGGCAGGAGAGTTACTTGAACCTGGGAGGCGGAGGTTGCAGTGAGCTGAGATCGCACCACTGCACTCTAGCCTGGGAGACACTGCGAGACTCCGCCTCAAAAAAAATAAAATAAAATATAAATAATAAATATGGCCAGCCAGTGTCAGTGTGACAGTTGTGGTCATTTTGAAAACAGCAAGGGTTCAAGAAAGCCCTGGGAGTTATGTCTGATTGAAGGAACTGTCCCCCTAGTTCTGGCTGTCGACATCTTTGACAAGTTCAACTTTACGGGAGCCAGGGTCCCGCAGTTCGACGCCATCCGCGAAGAGTTCCCCAGGGAGCTGGAGTCCTCCGTCTCCTTCCCAGCCGACTTCTTCAAACCACCTGAAGAAAAAGGTAGAACCGCTTAGAAACCTGCCGCTTCCCTCGGAGTCCCCAGCGTTCAGGGAGGGGAGGGCGCCCCGCTGCGGGAATCACAGGACTGCGCACTGAAGCTCCGGGCCGGAGTGTTCCGAGTGCTCGCTGGTGCCAGGTTCTGTTGGTGACAGCAGGGTTGTTTTGTACAAGTGCTTAGATACAGGCTGAGCATCCTCATCCTGAAACCTGAAATGCTCCAGAACCTGAACCTTCTTGAGCACTTACAGGAAGTGCTCATTGGAACATAAGTATGAAACGATAAAGAAATCAAAATCCAGGCTGGGTGCGGTGGCTCACACCTGTAATCCCAGCACTGTGGGAGACCGAGGTGGGCAGATCACCTGAGGTCAGCAGTTCGAGACCAGCCTGACCAACGTGGTGTAAAACCGCATGTCTAAAACACAAAAAAAAGAGCCAGCTGTGGTGGCGGGCCCCTGTAATCCCAGCTACTCAGGAGGCTGAGTGCTTGAGAATTGCTTGAGCCCGGGAGGCAGAGGTTGCAGTGAGCCGAGGTGCACCAGCCTGGGCTGCACAGTAAGACTCCCTCTCAAAAAAAAAAAAAAAAATTCCAAAATGTTCCCAAGCATTTCAGCTAAGGGATACTCAGCCGTGTAATTGATAATGTGAGAAAAAAGAACTGAAATTTTTATGTGAGCTGGTTATCTTTGATATGCAGTGAAAAGCTGCTTCTAGCCGGGCACGATGGCTCACACCTGTAACCCCAACACTTTGGGAGGCCGAGTCAAGGAGGATTGCTTGAGCCCAGAAATTCAAGACCAACCTGGACAACATAGAGAAACCCCATCTCTACCAAGAAAGTTTTGTTTAATTACCTGGGCGTGGTGGCGCAGGCCTGTAGTCCCACCTACTTAGGAGGCTGAGGCGGGAGGATTGCTTGAGTCCAGGAGATAGAGGCTGCAGTGAGCTGTGATCGTGCCACTACAGCCCAGCCTGGGCAGCAGAGCAAGAACCTGTCTGGTGGGGGGAAAGCTGCTTCTAAATAGAAATAGACATTTTAGAATCACCTTCCCCTCCCCGCAAAAAACAACAAAAACAAAACAAGCCAGAATGCTGTCTGTGTGTGAACAAATCTGCAATCCTGGGTTGAGGTTATAATGCAAAACAGTTTGAACATTTTGAATTTTCTTAAGGTACTTCTTTACAGATCCATGGCAATTACTAAAAACTTCCCCAGATAAAAAGGACATGAAAAGATAAACTCCATAATGGACAGTTTAAAATTGGAAACCTTGTTAGTAAATGGATTTTGTCAGGTATATGGTGTTATCTCGTGTCTTAAAAAGAGGGGTGACTCTGATGTGGGGTCATGCTTGAAACTGAGAGGACGAGGTCCCCGACTCTCCATTGCAGCCAGCTCTCTCTGGAACTAATAGAGTGGGAACTCGCTTATTACCAAGGGCTGGGCACCTAGCCATTCCTGGGGGATCCACATGCATGACCCAGACACCCCCCGCCAAGCCCATTTTCAACTCTGATCACATTTTCACATGAGATTTGGAGGCCACACATCCAGACTGCATCAGATACGTTCGTGTTTAAGGGGTCTGTCTCCAGAACTCTTCATCCTGCAGATCTGAAACTCCAGCCCACAAAACACTCACTCCCCTCCCCAGCCCCTGGTGCCCACCCGTCTTTCTGTCTTTGAATTTGACTCCTCTAGGGACCTCCTATAAGAGGAATCGCACAATATTTGTCCTTTTGTGATTGGCTTATTTCACTGAGCGGAACGTCCTGTAGGTTCACCCGCGTTGTAGCAAGTGTCAGACTTGCCCTCCTTTTGAAGGCTGAGTAACGTTCCGTTGTGTGGATGGACCACTCTTGGTTTATCCACTCACCAGTCAGTGCATGGCTGGGCTGTTTACACCTTTTAGCCTGTGTGAATGGTGCTGCTGTGAATGTGGGCAGGGAAGTATCTGGGTCCCTGCCTGCAGTTCTTTGGGGTGTATACTCAGAAGTGGGCTTGCTGGGTCACGTGGTAAGTCCTGTTTTTGATTTTTTGAGGATGCGCTGTACTGTTTTCTGTGGGACATCTGTTGGTTTTTGAGAAGCACCTGCTAGCACTGGCAGCCGTCTTGGGGAACGCAGATGCTCCTGCCAGAGTCCTCACGCTCTGCTCACATTGCAGAAGGTCCCCTGGTGAGGCCGGCCGGCCGGAGGACCAGCCCGCAGAGCCCGCGCCCGGAGCCTGGCACCGAGAGGGAGGCCCCGATCAGCAGGCGGAGGCGACACCCTGATGACGCTGGCCAGTTCGCCGTTGCTCTGGTCATCATTTACCGCACCCTGGGGCAGCTCCTGCCCGAGCGCTATGACCCCGACCGTCGCAGCCTCCGGTAAGGCCTGGGCACGGGGCACATGGGGAGGGCCCATTCTGGAGGCCCCTGAGGCTTCCACAAGTTAAAATCCTGATCCTGATTAAGCACAGGTCTTCACAGTGACATTTCACCGTGACCTGGCCCAGAGACAGAGACCGTTGCTTTGTGATGCTCCTTGGAGGGAGGTTCTGGGGCTGCCACGGGACACTACACCCTAGAACGTTACACACCCTTTGCCTGGGCTTATCCCAGTGTTTCCGCCAGAAATGCCCCCTCCCTCGCATATGCCCCATCTTGTGCCTAGAGGGACCCCATTCTGCCCCCACACACCTGACCGAGGCTGTCGTGGGTAGTGCCTGCTGCTGGCCCCAGGGTTAGGGCTGCTCAGCTAGTCCTGGCTGGAAAGGATGAATGTCCCAGAAGCAGCTTTGTGACCTCCTCGGTGGGCGCAGCCCGAGGCTCCACCCTTCTTCCTGCCGTTTCCCAGATACTTCCCTGGCTCTGGGGTCTCAGTGACCCGGTGATTCATCCCCATGAGCTGCCATTATTTTGGTGTCTTTTGCTGGACACTTAAGCCATCCCCTGTGTTTCTGCCATTAGCCGTTATGGGCTGTGACATCTTTGCACCTGTGCCTTCTCTTGCTTTTTAAATTTCTGAAGTCCCAATTGGACCCAGAGGTGACACCTCTCTCTGTGTGCCCTGTCAGTGATAAAACCTGCTCTAGGGATGAAGATACGGTGGGGCCCGTGGATCCGAGCTCTCGGAGTATGATTCCGTCTCCCCTAGAAACACGACGTGGCGTGTCCTCAGGGCATTTGTGCTGGGGTTTAAGCAAATGTTTCCTAACCGTGTCTGTCCCCGTGCTCTGGCTTCTTGACCTCAGGCTGCCTCACCGGCCCGTCATTAACACCCCGATGGTGAGTGCGCTGGTGTACAGCGAGGGGGCTCTGCTCCCGAGACCCCTGGAGAGGCCCGTCCTGGTGGAGTTCGCCCTGCTGGAGGTGGAGGAGCGAACCAAGCCGGTCTGCGTGTTCTGGAACCACTCCCTGGCGTAAGTGTGACTCCGGGAGCCCTGCATCTCCATGTGAGGGCGTTGCCGAGGCGGAGTGCGCCCGCAGGGTTGGGAGCTCCGTGGCAGAGCGCCCCGAGAGGACGGTCTCTTGTGGTCTGTGTTTCCCCTTTTAGCCCCGCCGTGGGGCAGCGAGCCTCCTGCTCTGCTTCTGTGGGAACATCAGAGTTGCCCCGCAGATGCCCACACACAGATGCACACAGACCTGCATGTGGAGACACAGACGTGCAGGCACACAGAGAGATCCCTCAAGGCTGACAGCCAGGAAGGGGCCCCTCGCCTGCGGGACTCCCAGGATGCAGCGGCCAACACCAGCGTAGTGCCCAGTTCACTGCCGTATAAGACAGAGGCCTGTTCCGCTCACACACGGGAGACAGAACCCAGAGACTGGCCTAGGAGCCTGTCTGCTGACGGTCTTGCCCGCGAGGCCGACACAGTCCAGCTTTGGGGACTGGCTTTACCCCGAAGAGGCCACACCCGGCCGCAGCACGGTTTATCTGGCCGGTTTCAGAAGCAGCGTCGGAAGTCAGCCGGTAGAGTGGCGCAGGCAGGAGGTGGTGCGCAAGAGTCTGTGTTCTAGCATCCGTTCAAGTGAGGCAAAGGCGTTTCGTAGTTAGAAAAATGCAGAATGAGTGCTTCTCACCCACACGTGAGACTGTGGATTCGGCGCCGCGGTGTGGCTCCCGTCTGCTGGAGCCAGTAGCGTTTGTGCCTTGGTTTTGCTTTTTAGCGGCGGAGTTGACGTGAGGTGTGGACATTTGAGTTGCTGTGTTTTTACAGGGAGCTTGCGTTTTCTCTGCTGGTCGGTTTTCACCTTTGCTGTCTCTGTTTAGAAGAAAACACTGGAACTGGGGTGTGGTGGGAAGGGGTCTGTGGCCGGGATGGGAGCACAGTCAGGGAGGGGAAGACCCACTGGCTCTCCGCACACCAGGAGGGAGCGCCAGGAAGGGGAGACGCCATGCAGGACTCAGTGAGTCAGGCTCGAATCTGCTGAACGTTGTTCATCTAGGGGCGTCTGTGCAGCAGGAACACTCCCCCCATCACAGTTCCCCTGGGCACAGTGGAGAGCCATGAGTGGGGGCTGTGCTGGGGGCGGCGCTGGGGTGAGCGAGCCGGTTGAGCCCAGCCTCATTCTTCTCTTGCTTCTGTGCTTTCCAAGTTCTAGTTAATAAGCAACCAGCATGGCACCTGGAATGTAATAGGCACTTGTGGCTTATAAAAGAGAGAAGAAAGGAACCCCTTTCACCACGAGGGGACGTCAGGCCCGGCTGTCTGTGCTGGGCATTCATCTGCGTCCTGCCAATTAGCTGCAGCTCTAATGACCTGCTCTCTGCTTTAAGTTGCGCCTATTATTCCCACATTGTAAAGTTGGTGCCAGACGTATTCACGTTCACATCCCATTTTACAGATTAGCAAAGTAAGCATCTGAGAGGTTATGTGATTTTCCCAGAGTGCGCGAGGGCAGGGCCCTGTCGGAAGCCGAGGCACACCTTGCAACAGCTTGTTATTTGGGCCTTCCCATCAGTGAGGCGGCAGTCATAATGGGGCCCTGGCTTCTGGGCAGTTCCCATTAAACATTGTGCAACCTGAAGATGAAAGCGTCAGAGGAAGGTGAGATGTTATTTCTGAAAGATCTACCCTCAGAAAGAGACAGGAGTGCATCGCAGCTGTGTGAACCCCGGGTGGTGGTTCCAGTGGCGGGGCACGTGGTGGATGCGAGACAGCCCCATTTGAGTTTTGCTGCTAGATGACACGTAGAACTTGAACTTCAGAGGGTGCTCCTTGGAGGCCCTGACCAGACACAGAAGGGAAGGGTGATTGTTCCCATGGTCCTGCCTCCACGGCAGCAAAGCTGCTATTGTTGTCTTCGGTGCAGGGGGCTGGTGCGGAACACGGCGGAGAGCAGCCTGCGAGGGTACCAGGCTTTCAGCACAGGATGGCCTGGGAGCCCCCAGGGCTGGGCAAAGGCTGCCCCCTACAGACTCACGGGTGGAGGGAACCATCTTACCCCTGCCCCTTCTCTCTTCTCTCCACAGCGTCAGTGGGACGGGAGGGTGGTCTGCCCGGGGCTGCGAGCTCCTGTCCAGGAACCGGACACACGTCGCCTGCCAGTGTAGCCACACAGCCAGCTTTGCGGTGCTCATGGACATATCCAGGCGTGAGGTGGGCATCCTCCTGTGGCCACTGTGCCTGCTGAGCCTACCCCCAAACCTACCCCTCCCCGCGGCAAACCTGCCCCTCGTCAAACCCGCTGAGCCTACCCCCAAACCTGCCCCTCCTCACACTAAGTCTTCCATTCTAAGGGCTTTGAACAAAACAAATCAACCGATTAAAACACATATTCCAGGATTGGCCAGAGTCTGCGAGGATTTCCATAACAAAGCCCCATTATAAGGGTTTTCAGAGAGCCCTGGTTATGCATTAAATCCCGGAATGGCAGACCCAAAGCTCAGGCTCCAAGGAGCTCTCGGAACCTGCCCCTCACTTCAGAGCGGGTCTGTTGGATGGTGCGGCTGCCCACTCATTTTGATCCTAAGGGACGTGACAGCTGCTGGGCGCTCTCCCTCGGGGCCACACGCAGGGCCACAGGACAAAAGGCTGGGCGGCTAATATTTAACCTCTGGCATTTTAAGTGGCCTGGGAATGTGAGCCGGACATTGTGGGCCTGCAGATGAATTGGGGAGTGTTCTGAAGGCTGTCCTGGCCTCGGCCTGTGTGGGACCCTGGTGTCTTGGAGTCAGAACCAGAGGCCTGGGTGACCTCCCCCGGCCCCTCCCCAGGGCTGCACTGTGGCTCAAGGGCTCAGGCCACTGTCCTTCCCGAGGGCTTTCTGATGTGAAGTGGCCCTGGTTTCTGTCACATTCTTGGAAGGGTGAGTCAGTCCTCAGGCTGGGCTGGAGGAGGGCAGAGGCCTTCTGTGCAATGTGTAGGTGACGCTGCCCTGCCTCTGCCCCCGTCTCATGGGCAAATGGCACTCCCCAGCAGGACCCAGCCTGGAGAGGGGTCAGTGATTAGTGGACTTTGTCCATATAAGGGCGGGGTTGGGGCTTGTCTCGTGGCCAGGACGCCAGGTGACATGTGGGCCAAGGAAACTGAAATGGAGGCAGAAGAAAGGAGGCTGGAGTGAGAGGCCAAGGCTCCCATGGCCCGGGTGCCCCAAAGCCAGAGGTCTCTGAACAGCCCCCAAGCCAGTGGAGGGAGCCTGGGGTGCTGCTGCAGGCCCCAGGGATGCCCAGGGGCCCAGGGCATTGAAGGAGCCTCAGGAGGGGCAGTTCCAGACCCAGGGCCATGAGCACTCAGCCTCCCCAGCCCAGCCTGATCCTGGCTTCCCGGCTTATAGCTCCACTTGGTAAACAACATCTATCCGAAGTTACTAGAGAGCCAGAGCTTGTTTTTCCCCAAATGCAGAAACTCCCCAGGGACCTGGGTCTTAGACAGGTGTCTTGGTTTGTAAAAGCACGGAAAACAGCAATGTGAACATACACACTGCTGAACTGCACGATTCAAAGTGGCCAAGATGGTAACGTTTTATGGCATGTATATTTTAGCACCATTTTCCTTTTTTTGTTTTTTTTTTGAGACGGTGTTTGCTCTTGTCTCCCATGCTGAAGTGCAGTGGTGCAACCTTAGCTCACTGCAACCTCCACCTCCTAGATTCAAGCGATTCTCCTGTCCCAGCCTCCCAAGTAGCTCAGATTACAGGCTCCCGCCACCACGCCTGGCTAATTTTTTTATTTTTAGTAGAGATGGAGTTTCACCATGTTGGCCAGGCTGGTCTTGAACTCCTGACCCCAGCCTTTTTTTTAAAAAAAAAAAGTGTACTACCTGTAAGAAATGCATAATAAGGTTGGGTACAGTGGCTCACACTTATAATCCCAGCACTTTGGGAGGCCGAGGCGGGCAGATCACTTGAGCTTACAAGTTCGAGACCACCCTGAGCAACATTGTGAAACCCTGTCTCTACCAAAACTACAAAAATTAGCCCAGCATAGTGGTGCATGCCTATAGTCCCAGCTACTTGGCAGACTGAGGTAGGAGGATGGCTTGAGCCTAGGAGGCGGAGGCTGCAGTGAGCCTAGATTGTGCCTCTTCACTCCGGCCTGGGCAACAGAGTCAGACCCTATCTCAGAAAGAAAAAAAGAAATGCATTAATAAGGGATCTGGAAATTTTAAAAGTAATTCCGTATAGCAAGCTATGATAGAGACATGTGCAGCTGGGACAGGACATCCATCCGCTGATAGAACACGTCATATTGAGAGATAAGTAGGTAAACCAGAACAGATAGGAAGGGTACAGGTGCCCAGCGCTGTGGCAGTCTGAAGCATCGGACCGGCCAGTTCACATAAGTGAAACCTGAAGTTCCGCCCCTGCCCAGCTGTGTGACTTCCGGCGGGTTGTTTAGCTTCTTTAAGCCTTGGTTTTCTCACCTGAAAGATGAGGGTTGCATTTCACACTCTCCTCATAGCTGTGATCTAAGGATGATACGAAATGATGCCCTTGGAGGCCAGGCGCGGTGGGTCACTCCGGTAATCCCAGCACTTTGGAAGGCCAAGGCGGGCAGATCACCTGAAGTCAGGAGTTTAAGACCAGCCTGGCCAACATGGTGAAACCCTGTCTCTACTAAAAATAGAAAAATTAGCTGGGCGTGGTGGTGCACGCCTGTAGTCCCAGATACTCAGGAGACTGAGGCACGAGAACTGCTTGAACCCGGGAGGCAGAGCTTGCAGTGAGCCGAGATCAGGACACTGCACTCCAGCCCGGGCGACAGAGCAAGACTCCATCTCCAAAAAAAAGAAATGATGCCCTTAGCAGGTCTGTCAGAACCTCTGCCACACAATAAGTGCTCAGTAAAAGCTTTTGCTGAACAAAAGAAATGACATTCTTGGTATTAACACAGTTACCCAGTTTTCTTCGTAAAGCGGGCATTAAGTCTTTCAGCCAAAAGAATAAGTCCATGATAGGATTAAGTGAAACTCCAAGAGGTACTGCGTGCACCTGCAGTGGAGACGCCTTTATCTTTTGCGTAAGCCGAGGATCTCTGTGGAAGGTTTCTGCCAGCCCAGAATTTTGGGTGGGCAGGCTGAGCCCCTCCCGACAGCAGGATTTACTTGTGGGGTTGGTTTTGGGTAGACAGGCTGAGCCCCTCCCGACAGCAGGGTTTACTTGTGGGGTTGGTTTTGTTTTTTGCTTTTTGTTTTGTTGTTTGCTTTTTGTTTTGTTGTTTTTTGAGATGGAGTCTTGCTCTGTCACCCAGGCTGGAGTGCAGTGGTGCCATCTCAGCTCATTGCAACCTCCGCCTCCTGGGTTCAAGCGATTCTCTTGCCTCAGCCTCCTGGGTAGCTGAGATTACAGGCACACATGCCACCACGCCCGGCTAATTTTTGTATTTTTAGTGAAGACAGGGTTTCACCATGTTGGGCAGGCTGGTCTCAAACTCCTGACCTCAGGTGATCTGCCCGCCTCAGCCTCCCAAAGTGCTGGGATTACAGGCATAAGCCACCATGCCTGGCCAGTATGGTGGTTTTGTAATGTGGCAAAATATGCATAACACAATTTCCCATTGAAATGTACAGCCAGTGGCATTAAGCTGGTGGCACAGCCTGTTGCTGTGCCGCCATCACCACCATCCGCCTCCAGAACCTGTTGTCACCCCACACTGTTCATTGCTGCTTTGTGCTTGTTTTGTGCCGCCTTGAGAACCATGTCCCAGTCACGCTGGTTCCTGCCAACCTTTGATCATTTAATGAGCAAGTGTGTAACTTGTCTCTGTTATGCAACGACCAGATCTGAGTCTTGGCCCTTACCTTCTCTCCTGCCTTTAACCCTCCCACCCACAGAACGGGGAGGTCCTGCCCCTGAAGATCGTCACCTACGCCGCCGTGTCCTTGTCGCTGGCGGCCCTGCTGGTGGCCTTCGTCCTCCTGAGCCTGGTCCGCACGCTGCGCTCCAACCTGCACAGCATTCACAAGCACCTCGCTGCGGCACTGTTCCTCTCTCAGCTGGTGTTCGTGATTGGGATCAACCAGACGGAAAACCCGGTACGGCCACTCTGCTCCCCTCCCCACTGTCTGGGCCGCACTTGGAGCGGCTACTGTAGTCTTTTCCTGGCCACTCCAAGCACCCTGGCTGGCTCCTCACCACCCCCACCTCCGCTTCACAGATGCCCTTTGAGGAACGTGCCGTGTCACAGGCTGTGGGTGGAGACGTGGGATTCACTGGCAGGTCCAAGCACTTCACCACCTTGACTCTATTGGGAGATGGGGGGCCCTTTTCTTTTCTTTTCTTTTTCTTTTTTTTTATGAGATAGAGTCTGTCTCTGTCAACCCAGGCTGGAGCGCAATGGTGCGATCTCAGCTCACTGCAACCTCCACCTCCCAGGTTCAAGCGATTCTTGTGTACATCCCCAGGAAAATACAACTCTTGTCAAAACTGATTTAAGGGCCGGGTGCAGTGGCTCCCACCCGTAATCCCACCAGGATCCCTTTGGGAGGCTGAGGCAGGCAGATCACTTGAGGTTAGGAAGACCTGGCCAACATGGTAAAACCCCTTCTCTACTAAAAATACAAAAATCAGCTGGGCATGGTGCCGGGCACCTATAATCCCAGCTACTCAGGAGGCTGAGGCAGGAGAATTGCTTGAGCCTGGGAGGCAGAGGTTGCAGTGAGCAGAGATGGAACCACTACACTCCAGCCTGGGCAATAGAGCGAGACTGTGTCAAAACAAAACAAAATGATTTAAGATGTAGAAAGCCTGAATACTCCTATCACCATTAGAGAATTTGCATTGCAATATAAAAACCATGGCCAGGCTGGGTTTATCTTAGGAATGCAAGGATGGTTTAACATTTAAAAAATCTATGAATGCCATTTACCTCACCAGTACATTTAAGGGAAAAATATTTTTCTCAGAAATGAATGTACAAAAGAATTTTGATTAATGTTATGCTCATTAATGAACAGAAAGAGAAAGAAACCTTTAAACAGACTGGGCCTAGAGGAAACTTGAACCTAATAAAGACATCTACAGAAAACCTACAGTTGACATAAATAACAATGGGTAGATACTGGAGGCATCCCCTGTAACGTCAGGAACCCACTCACCACTCTGTTCATCACTGTGGTGCAGGGCGGCCTTGCCAGTGCGATGAACAAGGAAAACAAAGGCATAGAGATCAGAAAGGAAGAAACAAAGCTGTCATTACTAGGTAACATGAAGGATCTCATGGAAAAATCTAAAATAGTCTATAGGCATGTTATGAGAAACAATTAGGCTGGCATGTTGGCTCACACTTATTATCCTAGCACTTTGGGAGGCTGAGGCAGGCAGATCACTTGAGGTCAAGGAGTTCGAGGCCTACCTGACCAACATGGTGAAACCCTGTCTTTACTAAAAATACAAAGATTAGCTGGGCATAGTGGTGTGCTTCTGTCATCCCAGCTACTTGGGAGGCTGAAACACAAGAATCGCTTGAAACTGGGAGGCAGAGTTTGCAGTGAGCCAAGATGGCGCCACTGCACTACAGCCTGGGCAATAGAGTGAGACCCTGTCTCAAAAAAAAAAAAGAAAAAAAGAAAAAGAAACAGGAGCCTGGCAGCCGTGGACGACGGGCAGAAGATCAGAGCAGTCTGATGGTAGCGCACAGGCCTGGGAGGGTGGGGTGGAGGCACAAGGAGAAAGGAGGGACAGGACCAACCCATTATGGAGCAGGCAGGAAGGAGGAGTCAGGGGACTTTGATGTCTCCAGAAGGGAGAGGAATGAGTAGATGAAGATACCACCTGTTGACAGGCAAGGTCTGGGTGAGATGGGGCACCTGTGGAGGCCAAGGAAGCTGTGCCGCGTGAGCCAGGGAGGCCGCCTCCAACTCGTGGGTGGAAAGGGTGTCTGTGGGGGTGGACAGGCCCTGAGAAGGGAAGTGGAATAAAGACCAAGCTGGAACTTTCCAGCAAGCTGCTCAGGGCCACGTGCAGACCAGAGGTGCTCCTCCTTTTTTATGGCAAGCGGTGGGACCAGACCCCTCTCACCTCAAGGAGGAAGGCGGGCACCCCCACCTCGCAGGTCACCCTTGAGAAGGCTCCATGGCTTCCCAGCAGCGGTAGGTGGAGCACCAGGCCTGGCCCACAAAGGATGAGCTCCTAGGCCTGTGTCGGACCAGCCAGGGCCAACCTTCCCCGCTGCCTCCCAGGTGTTCCCTGAGGCTGAGGCCCTGGGCTGGCGGGGGCTCTGTGTGCGGGGCGCGAATGGCAGGGTCGCTGCGCCTGCGGAGGGATGCGTTCACACCCGCAGCCAGGCACAACCGCAGCCAGGCGCATCCGCGCAATGGGCATGTTCTCATCCGCGCATTGGACCGGGAAGGCTCTCGAGAAGTGTGCGATTCATCTCAAAACCCCTCTAGTGTGCTTTTGAGTGGCGTGAACGGGGGAGAGGGGAGTCTGTGCAGGCCACTCCCTGCAACTCAACACCACCAGCAAAACCGAGGCGGTCCCTGGGTTCCAGCACTGACTCATCTCCCGCGGGAGTGAGCCCTGTCCCGGCAGCCACGCACGGCTGAGCACGGAGAAGGAAAGGGCGCCCCGGCAGCGTTCTAGGGGCTTGGCAGCGTGCCTGGGCTTTATGGTTCTTTTGTAAACCCACAATCCTATCTCTGGGCGAGGTTTTTCATCTCTCAGAGCGCTGGCAGGCTGAAATGATTTATTATGCATCCGCTTTTGTCTTTGTTGTATTTCTGGAAAAGGTGGTACGTTGGTTACGGAAGCAGGTACAACCCCGCTGCAGCCAGGATGGCACAGTCCTCGCAGTTTCTGTTTTCAGAAGGTGGTTTTGTGGATTTACTTTTCACATTATTTAAAGCAGCCATCCAGCCAACCAACCTTCTCGCCCCTTTCCTTTTCCTAAGCCAGCGTGATTTCCATCCAGGAAACTGGGGTGTTTGGTGTAGGGTTCACCAGCCATACGCTGGCGCCTTGTTTCCTGACGTCGAGCGTGTGGTCTGAGGCCTGCCTCTGGCATAGCTTGAGCCTGTGGTCTCTGCTTTGGTTCCTGCTCTGTTCTGAAGCTGACAGATGTGATGCTGACTTGGGGCCCTTCCCACTTCGGGGGCATTGTTTCTGGAGGGTGGCTGGCCCTTCGAGGCTGATGTGGCAACAGGGGCGCCCTTGGGGCGCCATGACCCGGTGCCTGAGCAAAGTGGCCTTCAGCCTGGGGTTGAGGTGGGGGCCCTCCTTCTCCTCCTAAGCTTTTGTGTCTGTTAAAGGCTGTCTCCCTGGGACCCCCTGGTAGGGTGGACTGATGGGATGGTTACTGAGGATTAGACAGTGTGTCCAGAGCAGGCCGGCTGGGAGTGGGGTCGGGGTGGGACCCTCCCCCTCCCC